CCTTCAATAATTATAAAGTAAATTTCGAAGTAAAATGGTTTGATTAAGTCAAGGTTAACTAAATAAAAAAATGTAACAGAAAAAAATCTTATGCTCTGGTCTGTAAAATTTAAAGCCATAACTATCAGTTTTCGAGATATTAAGCCTTTAAGATTTACGTGTGTCACCCTGTATAATGATATTAATACAATCATTTTTCGCATTTCAGACGCAAACGACTGAAATAAATATTCCAGAAAATTTATCTGAAGTTATGAAACCTGCAGATCTACTATATTGCTGCAATTGTACCAAGCGAGGACATGATTCTTCTACATGTAATGAATATCGGTGGTCGCAACACTTTCCAACGCCAGCGTTTGTATCAAATTATACAGAAGGACCAGAATATGAAGCTTCTGTTCATAAAAATACTAATGAAGATGTAATACCATTATCTAAATCTAAAAAACATAAAAATATGGTATTTCTTAAAGACAATGATGGTCTTGAAAGTTGTTTTGTTATATATTCTTATGGAAGTTTTTATACGAAGAAATCTATTGGCGAAGAAATTATACGAAAACTTTCAGCTAAAAACGTTCAATCTTCCGATATGAAAAATGTTTTGAAAGGTTCTATTTCTCCGTCATTTTTAGATGAGTTAACAAAAATAACTAAATTTGAAATTAAAATTTATTATGATTCGAATAAGGATTTAATGATTAGAATTCGATCCGTGGTGAATTTTGGTAAATGTATTCTTGATTTCTTTATTTATTGGCTTAAACTTAAAGATGAAGACAAACAATTAGATATGTGTGTAAATCTTCCACGTAATACAAAAAAGTTGATGAAATCATTAAAAACAAAACTGGATGAAATTGGACAAAATGTACAAGATCCAAAGTATTTGTATAGTCAAATAGAACAATTAAAAACATCAAGAACTAGTGGTCAAGACCCTAAAACGTTAACTTCTACTTCAAATAAAATATTAGATCTTCAAAGCAAATTAATGAAAGTGTTTCATACAAAACCTAAAAATAGTGTTATATTAAGGAAATTTAGAAAATCTGTCAACTACTTAAACAGACATCCTTGTGATGAAATTGGCATTGGACACTATTTGAATATTATTGTTAATTATAATAAAATATTTCTACCACGCACTTTAACAGATTCTGAATTGCAGCGTTTCTTTAAAGCATATTATAATGATAAGAATAAAAAAAATAAAAAAAAAGATAATGGCGAAATTAAAAAGCAAAAGAAAAACAAAGGACTTACTGCTTACGAAATATTTACACAAAATTTACGAAAGTTTAATAATTCCAGAGCTGCTGGAAAGACACGTAATAATATGGAATGTAGCGATACATCAACAAATATTGAAAAACAAGATAAACAAATACATAGTATTACACCCACAGTTATTGAAAATGTATCCATAAGTAGTAGTGTTCAATCCAATATGCAAACTGCAACACATAATACAGAAAACATTTCTGTGGAAACATATAACGTAGAAAACAGTGTTACTGAATCTACTAATATTTATCCTATAGAATGTACACAATTGTCACGTAATCGAAGTGTCTCAAGTAATAATGAAGAGGCAAATACTACAACTAATTTAAAAAGTATTTCATCAAATTTAATTTCTATACCTCTTCAAGAATTTGTATCCACTGATACATCATCAACACAGACCAAAAATGATCACTTAAATAGTGTATCTTGTACTAAAGTAAAACCTTCAGAAGATAACATAGAAAAGCATATAGAAACAAAAAGCAGTAATAATGAAGTAGTAAAAAGTAATGAACAAGAAAAAAATAATGCAGTTGAATCAGAAGCAAGTGTTGCCAAACGAAAAAAATCTAAAAAGGCTAAAAAAGCTAAACTAGATCTTGAAAGCAATTTAAAGGCTACAGAAATTCCAGTAACAAATATTATTACACCTGCAGAAAATAAAGCTAATGAAATTATAAATGAAGCTCTTGAATTCAATTTACCATATATGAATAAAGCTGTTGAAGAAGTTAGAAAAAGAATAAATGATAAAAACCTTAAACAAGAGCATGTTGATACATTACAAAGATTAATAAATTTGGAGAAAGATCATAGAAAATATGTAAGTTCATTTTGTAATTATTTACAATAAACTTTATTCTTTAAGATACAGTTTTCATTATACTCTAGTTTTAAGTGAACTGAAAGTCTGTTGGCATTTTCAATAATTTCATCGTAGTTTAACTTTGTTCAGAAACCCTTTATACAAAGTTAACAAAAATTCATAAGAAAAAATAGCAAAGTACATTTCCAAATGCTAAATTTGATATAAAACCATACACTATAATGTTATATTATATACAACTATACCATGATTATGTTTACATTTAAGTTGAAAAAGAATAATATAGAACAGTAAGTTCATCTATGTAGATAATAAATTTTAAATAAATGTAATAAATTCTAAAGGCTTGTATAGTAAGGTATAAAATGGTATTTCAATTATGTACAATAGATACATTATTACTTTTGATAAGCATAACTTAATAATTTGAAAAAGCACTTTTATTAAAGTATAAAACTTCATAATATACAAATTGTCTTTATGTTTATTTCTTTTGTAAGCAAAAAAGAAGTTTTCTTTTTCAAACAAAATCATCTATTTTATATTTCTTATTTTATATATATATATACAGTAGTGCACACATAAGCGTCCGCATTTTTGCACATTTAAGCGTCCGTCGCTATCCCCACCAATTCTTGGAAATGGGACTTCGGAGTGGAGTTCGATCGTGCCGAGTGAAACAAAGTAATTCGATATCGACTCCTGAATGTGAACAATTGACACTTGATATATCGGTATCCCACTCAGACACATCTCTCTTTTGTTTAGTTGAATTCGCAGAAATCACCTCCCCATTTAAGCATCCGCATTCGATCCCGACTGCGGACGCTTATGTGTGCACTACTGTATATAGTGTGAAATGTGTATATATATACATATACACGCACTGTTTATAATTATACTTATATAAATGTATATGTATTATGTAAAATATAATTATTTACGTCCCAAAATGAAATTCGATCTTGATTAATGAAGTATTAACATCAATTATAAAAACAACATTGGCATTATGTTTTATCCTTCTTGAATTTATTTAGCTGTTAAAAGAATGTGATTTTGCTGCATTTGAACATTCCAAAAATATTATAAATTGTAAAACAAAATTCACACTTGCATTTTTATGTACATGTTATTACTATATCAGTTAAATATGCATATGATTCATTCAATATTTGTATGGATATAATTAAAATAATGCTAAAAATAATATACATTCTTTTTATTATTTCTTCATCGGTGGAGGTCCTCCCATTGGTGGTGGTGGTCCATTCATTGGTGGTCTCATTGGACCCATAGGTCCCATAGGACCCATCATTGGTCCCATTGGTCCCATAGGTCCCATCATAGGTGGCCTCATACCCATCATCGGTGGCATTGGTCCATGTGGTCCCATCATCATTGGACCACCTGGTCCCATTGGTCCACCAGGATGCATTCCTGGTGGTGGCATCATACCTGGTGGACCTTGAGGTGGCACGCCAGGACGAGGCCCAAGATTTGGAGGTGGTGGAATTGCTGCTCCCTTGTTTGCCGCAAAAGGATTAGATGCAATTTTCCCTGCTTTAAATGCTGCTGTTGTTGCATCGATTAGATGTTGTGCTTGCTCTTCCATCCATTTTTGATAAAAATATTTGACATTATCTTTATGTTTACGTCCCTGACAATGTGTCTTTCGTACACTTGGCGAATCGTGTGTCAAATATGTATCACAATAATCACAATAATATTTTGGCATTGTTCACTTAGATTATAAACCCAACAATCGTAAAATGTTTTTTACGGTGCGTTGCACAATTTCTTGTAATTGTATCAATTTTTCACGTTTGAACGTTAACGTTTAATTACAGGTTATATACACGCACATTTCTTGTCCCCAAACATTTACTATAACCTGTAACTATATTCAAGATGGATAAACGACATAGAAAAATCTGAATCCGCTACTATGTGCACCTTCTATTAAAATAAAGTACTTTATATGATACATTTTCGTAATTTTATACTGATCTATTTGTATAGTTAACTTAAAATAAAATTAATCTTTATTGTTATAATAATATGTTACAAATGTACAATATACGTTTTTTATTTATCTTGTAAATTATATTCGTAAAAATGTCTAAAAAGAAGAATAATTGGCAAAGTTCTATACTATTTTTGTTATTATTGTAGTTTTCGTTTCGTAATTTTCATTTTTGCTTTTTGATGTTTCAATATTATTTTGCAATTTTAACGATAACCTTATTATCCTTTCAACTACTCAATACACTGATTATTGAACAGTATTAAATTTAAACATAAAATGAAAACACACTTATAAAACTATTACTGTTATTATAAACTTAACATAATATAACTCTATAAACATACCTAAATACACTGAAATAATTACATCAATTCTTTACCGAATCCCTAGAATTAATTCAAACGCATAACGACTGTGATCGTATGTGAAATGGTGTACGATGCGCAAGTGAGATGCGTGAAAATCATTCCGAGTCAAAATTTCCGACACCAACCGTTGGCGTTTAGGATGCTGAATGTTACTATCTTATTCTCTATGATTTGTATGAGAGGTAAGATGTCGGCCATGTGTTATTGGTTTTGAGAATCACTGTACTCCCCGTGTTTTGACGTGCCCTATATTCGTTAGTGTAGGGAGGTTTTCTCGGCTACAGGTATATTTTTAAACGTTAATAACTAAAAGACTAAGCTTCAAACGCAATGTTTTTATTTTTGATTTTCGCCTTATTTCGGTATCTAAAATCACCCCTTAAATTTTCTCTTAGCAATGGCCGAACACCCAGTTTATTGAACCCATGTATGGAATAAATCATTCATTAAATGCGTTTTCATATTTTTCGTTACATTATAATGAGAATATAATTAATTTGTCAGATTTTGTTGATGAAAATGAGTTTAAATTCGACCTTATTAAAACTGCTTTTAATTACACATATTGTCATAATATTATTGCAAAATTTATTATTTATATGATATAGTCCGCAAAACATTAATAATTTCATGATTTTCTAATGAAAAGTGTAAACATCTGTTACTAAGCTGTTATGAGAGTCCCGAATGTGTTTATTCTTGCTCTGTCTCACTCGCTTTCGGTATAGGATGGTCATCTTCTTTGACACATAGAATAATAACAGTAAAACTTATCACATTTGCCGCGCGGTTACCATAAATCACCAAATACAGTTTTATTTATCGATAAACATAAAAGTAACAAAAACTATACGTTCTTTATACTTAATACAAAATCGTCATCATCCGTATCTGTTTCCAAAGGTAATTCGGGACCAGCAGTTCTTTGATATATAAGTACTTTTCTGCCAGCGAACAAACATTCTCTAATTTTTTTTGTGTAATCGGTAATGGATTTTGTGCACACACCTCGTCAGTTGGTAATGAAGAAATAGCTGAACTTTTTTTTAGACAAAACTCTGAAAACCTTAAACCAGCACTTTACAATACTAAGTAGATTTCTCATCCTTCGAAACGCGTTATTTTTAAATTTAAAATTTTTCTTTTTGTACGTTTATAACATTTTTCTTGAAAGTATTTTTAAAATGTTTAGAGTAATTTAAAATCATACTCTTGTTCACCTCCACTAATGTAAATTTCGTGACGTTTTTCAAACCAAATCTATTCAAATCTATCTTCGATTGGTGGAATTGATTTGCGAATCGGCAAAAGAACCGGATAACTCCGGAGTTACTGGTTCATACACCTGAATAGTTCCGTTATCTCGATATTTAACTATTAGAGCTGTCTATTTCTTGCAGCAAACGATGCAGAATGGCGTCAGTTATTACATCTATACATGAAAGTACATGAAAATCCAATTTTTGCCAAAAAGTAGAGCTCATCGGTTTTTGTACTGAACCCTCTAACTATAAATAATATAGAAAATTATAATTTTTATATTCTTCACGGAATCTTCATAAAACCACAGACAACGTACAGGATAGACCTTGCACCTTATGAAACTTTTTATCCGGGGCTTTGGGGCCGAGAAGACTCTTACCGTTTTCATGTCGTTACCAATGTTACCGATTCACCATAGAATAAACTTACAGCATTAGTAGTGGTTAGAACTGGAACTATGAAATTACAAATAAAAAAGTAACGTAATTGTTTATTAGTGGGCGATTCATCACATGCACATGTTTTACTGCTGCCAAAAGATCGTGAACAGTTCTATTCAAGCAATCCAATATATGTATGCATCTTTATATGCAAATTTAATAAAAGAGGATTTTTTACATTTGTCGATTTTACCATCTTTGATGATTGGATTGAATGTAATTTTTAAACTCATTAATTTATATCGTAGAGGGCATAACAAAAACTCTGATTTTTTACACAATCGGTATTTCAGAACGTTGTACACAAAGATACATTAGGTGCAAGATCTATCCTGTACCTCGTCGCTGGTAGAATCAGCAAGGAATAAAGTAGAATACTTCATAACCGAATGGGGTATAGGCGGAGTTTGGTGTCCTAACGTTTGTTGGACACGTTGTCCCACGAATCTCCAAACAGTTCACTATTGCGCATGCGCCTTAAATGGCAATAAGATTTTCGATTCTCACAGAAGTACTGTGACAATTGTTTTGGTGTAAACTGAAAGTACCTGAGAAAACGAGACGAAAAATGTCAGCAAAATCAAAGGCATTTACCAAAGAAGAAGAACTCCTTCTTCAAGACTTTTCACGGAATGTGTCAACCAAATCATCAGCGTTATTTTACGGCAATGCTTTCATCGTTTCGGCGATTCCCATTTGTAAGTACAGAATGTTGAAAAGCTAATAAAAATGATTAATATTATTGTTACATTAATATTTATAAATTCTACGACACATTTTAGTATATATTTATATTATGGGTTTGCGATTAAACGAATAGTTTAAAAGCTAACCTCTATCTTTTCGTTACAGGGCTTTTCTGGAGAATTCACTTGATCGACATCTACGCCAATTTAATTTCCTTTGTTTTAGTCACATTAGCTAGTACATACGCGCTTGCCCTCGCGTATAAAAATACCAAGTTTGTATTGAAACATAAGGTACCGTAAATTGGTAATAGAATCTCCAAATAAAGTAATGTGTCTACGATATTGTATTTTCTAAAGTGAAATTGTATACTTTTTTCAGATTGCAGTGAAAAGGGAAGATGCAGTGACAAAGGAAATGGGCAGAAAGTTAGCAGAAGACAAAAAGATGAGCAAGAAGGAAAAAGATGAAAGGTACCTAAATGTTCTCAAATACGTAATATGTTCAAACTGCATTTAATAACATACTGTAACATGATCAAATTTCTAGGATTTTATGGAAGAAAAACGAAGTGGCTGATTATGAAGCAACAACATTCTCAATCTTCTACAACAATGCCTTATTCTTAGCTCTTGTAATTGTATCTTCATTTTATATCCTAAAGACATTCACTCCAGCTGTAAATTATATATTTTCCGTGGGCGCGACGAGTGCACTGTTAGCGCTACTGTCGACTGGATCACAATAATTTATGCTGCTCAAAAGGTATATGTGTGAATATGTGATGGTAACCCATTTATATCATAAGACAATTCTGTGAGACTGAGAGAATGAATACATATAATAAAATTTCTTTTATTTATACTAATTTTGCCGATTCGTGTTATTCGATACACCTCCAAAATGAAAACCGTTTAGAAGTACTTTTGTCTTTGCTTAGATTGAACTATGTTGTAACCGTGTTAGAAAAATATCATAATTATGTGTATTTTATATTTAGTTCCACGACGAATGATTAATCACGTCGCATCCACACCATTCTATTACAGCCTTTTGTCAAACTGCCCAGAGAATACGGTCAGGGGAATCAGTAAACTGCACGTACTTACATTATCAAGCGTTTAGCAATCAAAAAATTCATCTTAGCAAGACAGGCGGTAATATTTGCGATTCATGTTATCGCAGCCGTCCGAGTTATTTACCGTCACTTCCAGGCGACTAAATAACAAATAAATTAAATTCCGGCTCTATTGTGGGTGACGAATTATAACGGATCACAGATTGTAATCCATTATACATAGTTTTAACGCAGACCAGCCTAATGCTTTCTTTACTTGCTTAACTTGGATCGGTGCCAGCGTATAACCCGTTGAAGGAAAATTCCTTGTTAGGTTGTATATTCTATTTCTATACAGAAGTGAAAGTGCCAACATTCACTTATACACGATATAAATACCATTATTATCGCTGCATATAATGTGATATACGTATAATGTGATATTGTTTTATGAAAAGTTGGGTACGAAATTTTCGCCGATTTCCTTTATTGCTCTACCGGGGTGACATTTGTTACGCATATGACAGATGACTCGAACAGGTCATATCTCAAAAACTAAAGATTCGCAGATTAACGTTTATTATGACTTTTACTGCATCTCTAAGTGATTGCACATCATCGAATAACCCAACGGATTTTTGTAAAGCGAAGAACTGAAGTATTCGCACAATCGTGATCATGCATCTGGCAGAGGTGTATGTACCAGTTTCATGGTCTGATGTATGCCACCACGTGATACTTGTGTAATTCTGACAATTAATAAATCCAAATTTAATTATTACGCAAAAAACATAGCAATTTTTCTGATGAAAATGACATCAAACACGACATAATTTGAACAACATTTACTTATTAACACGTTCACTGTCACGCCAGATATTTCACTGTATTGAGATAAAACAGACGCCCTGTATTACATTACATAGAGTCGGCCTACCGTCTGACTGACACTTGTAGAATCGGCCCTACATTTTTTTTCAATAAGTATTAATAAGTAAATGTTGTTCAAATTATATCGTGTT